CATCCCAACACCATACTTACAGCCTACGTGGACGATAATGCAATTTTATCTCTTAACTCAATCCTATCCAAGAAACCTCGAAAATCCAGGAGCATCTTGAGCTCATTGAAGAATGATGCAAAAGGTGAAAAATGAAAATGAAATCCAATTTACGATCACGCTAAACAAACAGCCTTGCACAAGTCTATACGTTAACAATAAAAACCCATTTGCACGAGTAAAATAGTTAGGGCTGCACTTAGGCAGTAAACTGACGTGAAATCCTCACGCAAGATTCAAGCGACAAGAACTAAATAGACGATTTGTACAGCAACGAAGATTTGTAGGATCGAAATCAGACTTGACGAAAGAACAAACTAATTCTCTAGCAAACATTACTTCGAGCTATTTGTACGGAGGGAAACTGTGGGTTACCAGCAACCATCTAACATCCAACGAATCCAAGATTCCAAATCAAAAGTCCTCAGAAGAATTCTCTAAACTCCTTATTTATCTCCAATATCACTATCCACAATGACCCTTCCTCAAGTTTTACTCTAATCTTTCAGCCCATCCTTACGCTACTGCCCCCATCCTTATCCTCTCCACTTCATCCCATCCCAAGAGCTCTCCACGTCTCAAACGACGATGGCCCCGAGACCACCTCGTCTGAACCCGATACCAAACGGAGTACCAACGTTGGCTTGTACCAGTGTTTCGCCCGGGATATTATACCATTGAGCACAATTTGTAATGCATATAATTTATGTGCATGATTCAAATAAATATTATTTCAAAAAATTTAATTTGCTAGTCAATGACATTTGGATGTATAGACTTCGGAGGGTATATGGACTAAGACTCCTTAGTTTGGAAGGTACAATAAAAGGCAGATCATGCGTTATAAATAAACTTTTCGTTTATATTTATTTGTTTATTTTGTACATCCTACAACAATTTTCGATTATGTAAATGTTACTAATGAAACAAACAAAAAATTAACAATGAAGAAGAAAAACGTTGGCCGAGATTCAACAAATAACCGTCGGAACATAAGTCTTTTCCTAGTTTGGTGAAAATTTCTCCCTAGTATGTGCGAAGTGAAAGCTTGGGTAAGACGCAGACGAAGCTTGGCTGTTATTGGTTATGACCTGGGTGAAACTCGTTTCTGTCAAAAAATTTTAATGGCCGTATAGCTTGTGTGATTTCTTCTTGAGGTCTGCGAGGTGATGAGAGTGTGACCTGCAGTTTGGCCTTATTCGCCCTGTTTTAGCCTGTCAGACGGATTCTGCTTCTCGCCGATCATCTTTGATGGATTTGTGTGCCTCTCCCTGCATATATCCCTAATAAATTGCCGCGTCTGAAGGCCAACATAAAAACGATCAAACTAATGATTCTATTAGTGTTATTACTGTGTTTGTGATTGTTATATACATTTTATTTTGAGTTATTTTAAATATGTTTTGATATATGTTGATATAAGTTGATGACCAAGGGTAGAGGGCAATCGACTAAGCATAACCCTAATACCCAAATGACCCTCTACCCTTGGTCATTATTTTCAACATCATCTTTCTCCTTCATATGACGTACTGAACTTCACCAACTTTATTTTTGGGAGACTGTAATGGGGTCTGCGGGTTGAAGAATCTGTTCGCTCTACCATCTTCAGTGAAGAACCGGCCCAATATAGTGATCATGTGTCGGTCAGTTTAACATGTGTTCACCGACTCGCAAACCAAGAACCACCACCCATTGTAGTTTTTGTCCGATCGTTTTGTTCTATTCTCGTAGTTGTGGTCCGTCAGACGTGTCCCAGCATTTCGTCATCTTCATTGCGGTTGCTTATTCGGAAATCGTGAGATGCGGTGCCGGCACTCTCAACACGACACAATGGCACAATTGTGCAGAAAACAAACATTTTGAGCCCTGAAGATGATCTCAATAAAGATCGAAACGTTGGCACGATAAAGAAAATGTATTTCTGAAACCTACGTCACACCAGACCGCATCTCACGATTTCCGAATAATCAACGACTAACGGTCACTAATCACCACACATTGCTGTTGCTGTTGAATTATTACATTGATTCCAAACGAAAATCCGAAATACGAGGCAACCCAGCATACTTAAAATCAACAATAACACTCAAAACATAGGCACAATTGCCAAACCGATAAACTTAGACATGTAAAATTTAAAAAATTCAAAACGGAACATCAGTGGCGTTAGAAAACTTTTACTATCTGTACAACTTCAAGTTTCTATTGAAATGTTTGTGTTAATCAAAATTATTCAAGCTAAATTCAAATTTGTTCGTCTGTAATCCATAATTAGTCAGTTAAAAATTATCTTTTCACTGATCGCACCCTAAAGGATGTTTTTGGTGTACTGGAGGTCCATTTAATGGGATTTTCATTTTGATTAGCGGAGTTTATGTACAAAGTGAGAATGTATTTATTTGTGCGACGGTGTAATAGAAGTTAGTTAGTTTTAAGCTAGATTTAATTTTGCATTGGGGGCTGAAATTACCTAGCTGTCGAAAGCTGTTGGTTAGAAGCGACGATCACCTGGGCTTAAGGGGAAACTGCAACCCAGCAGCATAACTAAGTAGGTGACTCTAGGGTCAGCATATCGAGGAGTGGCAACCCTATGAAAGTCCATTTTCATTACTGTTCGTCAAGCAGCTATTGATTTATAGCTCAACCATAGGGAATAATAAAAATGAGGTAACACAAATGTATAAAGGGTAACAAGCAATAAAACTGTATAAATATACGTTGCACCTTATCACTATTATCAGGAGAAAAATAAATCAAGATTTGAAAGAAAATTTTTTTAAGTCTACGAGGTGATGGACGTTGTAGTTTGGTAGATAGCAATCGTTCTCGTCCTCCTATCTCGCTGTTTTGGTTCAGAGGGGTTTCAGCATTTCGCATCTTAGTGCCATCAAGGAAATAAGCAGGTAGAGGCTGGGGAAGAGCCTTAAATGGTTGTTCGTTGTTCTTTTGGGTTTTTACAAACCAAGAAATCCTGAGAGCCACTTAGAGAATCGTCGAAGAGCATCGTTGAACTAGGAGGAGATCGACCCGATACGGAAGAAAGTAGGCTAGATTTTTTTTTATATTTTATTTATTTTTATCACGAAAATACTGTACAACCATTAGATTTTTTTTTAAATTATAAAATTAAAAACTTATTGTAGTTTGGTCGTTTAAATCATTCTTCTTCATTGAAAAAAGCCCTTTCATTTTTCAAACACGTATAAAAGGAACTCAAATTAATAAGAGAGTAAATTGACCAGTGAAGATGATGACGTGCTAGAAGAAGAAGCTAAGATAGGCGGGCCGAGATGATTGGAAACGATCAAAGAACTAAAATTAATGTTACTCATTTTTCTGCAAAATATTCCATCATAAAAAATAATTTATAACGCATAAAAACAATTAGATTAAATTTTAAAAACTAGAAGAATACTGCTTGAAGCAGATCCGTGCTGGCGAATTTCGCTTTCTTCAAATCCTCCCTGGCCTTTGGATACTAAAAATAATAATAATAAAGAAGCTAATATTTTCAACTTTTTAAACCAAAACAGTAAAGTTTGTTACCTTGGGCATGTCGAAGAATTGCACCAACCCCTTGTATGTCGTCGCATTGCCCAGTACGAGGTCTATTATCAGTAAAAGGACGAAAATTGAAATGTAGAGAGCCTGGATCCTTTTCATGCTGAATGTTCGGTTTTAAATGTATTTTCATTTTGAAAAAGCTTCAATGCCCCTAATAACAAAACGGGAAGTAACTGGATCTAAACTGATACACAATTCTGGGACGATCCAATTACTCTTTCTTAAAATACTAGAAATTTATTTAAAAGATAGCCTGCACTCTAGGAAATAATATAATATTAGCTGGATTAACTTTAAATAGATTAATTTACAATTTTTTCTTTGAACTAGAAAAGTATCTGGATCATGAGCTTCCTAGTAAATAGGGTCTCTTTCTCTCTTTTAATCCCTACAATGTCATCGCCTTTTCAGAAAAAAATTGGATCGATGAAGGTGCAATAATTTTAATTTTCAAATATCATCTTTCTTACACCCCTGATGGCACGCACTACAGGTTCAACGTTTCCACCTGGTGGTATACCTCCAGAGAATCTCACAGCTATTTTTATCAAATATTTGTACTTGCATATTTACCACTGAAGATGTCTATCTATCTATGTCTATGTCTCTCTCTCTCTCTCTCTCTCTCTCTCTCTCTCTCTCTCTCTCTCTCTCTCTCTCTCTCTCTCTCTCTCTATCTATCTATCTATCTATCTATCTATCTATCTATCTATCTATCTCTCTATCTCTATCTATCTATCTATCTATCTGTCTATCTGTCTATCTCTATCTATCTATCTATCGATCTAACTATCTATCTCTATCTATCTTTCTATCTATCTTTTTCTCTTTTAAACTTTTGCATTTTCGTGAAGTTTATTGAGTAGTCGTATCTGTGCGTTTTCTCCATGCCATTGTCCTTTTCTAGGTTCTGGTATTTGGCTTCAGTTTAATCTATGGCGGTATATCGTAAAATTAAGTTTAATTTAACAGTTTGTTATATTTTCATTTCGTCCGGCAAATTATTGCGTTTCCAGATCCTTTGTCGTTTGGTGAATGTACTGCAACGGTTTTGGCAAAATAACGTGCTACTATTTTAATTTAAGAGTCTCAATGAGACTGTTGCTGAATGTGCGATTTTTATAAAATCTGTTGTTTTTTAATTAATTAATTTTAAAAAATTTTAAAAACAGTATTTTACTTATTATTTAATAGTTGTGCTCAACACTTGTAAGGCAACCGTCAATTTTTCAAGTTTCACCTTGTGAAAAGTGACATGATATACACACTTAATTATTATTATTAAATAACTAACAGCACCTGCTGAATTTTTAATAAACCTTGAGTATTTTAAACTTTTTTTGCTAAAGTTGTTATAATGATGGTTTTCTCAATGTAACAAATTAAACTATTTAACATAAGATGAAAACATTGCGATTTGACGAGATTTTAACATATGGCAATAACAATCAACATAAAACAAGCATTTCATTGAAAATCGACATTTATATTATAGAAATATTTATACATAGTTATTTAATCGTTGCCGGATAGTTGTTTGTTGAGGAAGAAACGGCGCAGCAGGAGGAAACAATGGAAACTTCGAGACTCAGCATGGGAGGCAGCAAGACCTCAAAAAAGAAGAGTACTCGGAGGTCAAGTGTAAACAGCATCAATAATAATAATAATAATAATAATAATTTTAGCACACCAAACGAACCGTCGAGCTCTTCTCACAGCCTCGATTTTGACATCTTGACGATCAAAAACGTGGTAAGCTTCTTCCCATATCGTGTCGCAATGTGTTCACGATGATTTGTTTTAAATAAATCCTAATTTTATGAAATTTGATTTTTCAATTTGAACAGTTGTCTCTTCGAAAGTTTGGAAAATTGGAAAAAATCCATATTGATTTTTATAAAATTGACACAAATTTTATGAGATTAGAGTTTGTTATTCCTACATGGATTCAGCGATAGCTATTTAATAATAATATAAGTTTCTCTTTTTGGCCGTAATAATAAAAATATTATGATTATTATGATTTTGTCTGTATATTTAGAAACTGTAAGTTTAACCCCACGCGTTTGGGCTTCTCTCGCTGCGTCAGGGGTTATAAGCAGGGAGAGGCACGTGCACAAACACCACTGAAGATCGGCGACCAAACAGAAAATTATCAGTTACGAACAAACCAATGACCGTTTTTTATTTTAGAGGTTTATTTTGAAATATTTTAAGTATACAGCACTGAATTAATGGCATACGAATTTTTGTTTAATTTAATTAGTCTGCCAGGGGAGTTTCGGCTTCTCGCCATTTGTGCGCCTGCCTCTCCCTGCTTATACCTTAATGCTATACACTGCAGATAAACGGAATCGGCCAGATTACAGGTTCATGACCTGTTCAGCTCTCAAGAAGAACTCTAATAATATAGAAACTGTTGAGGAAAATAGAATTCACAATTAATTAAAGTTAGAAATGGTCCAAATCAAATCCAAATGCTTTCAAGTTTATTTATTTTTTCGATTAATTAATCTTTTATGTAAGACACCAAAACTGAAAAAATGGCAAAAAGAGGGAAAATCCAAAACGTTGTAGGTTGAGATGGGGAGTTGGTGTTTGAGTAGATTGAAGTCTTGATAGCTCAAGCAGTAAGAGCAGCGGCGTATTGAGCTGAAGGTCGTGGGTTCGAATCCCTCTTGTTACACTAACTTTTTCATTTCAACCAAGACCGTGCATAAAAGAATAATTAATTGAAAGATATATGGTTTATTTATTTTGTTCTGGAAGCAAATTATAAAAGATTTTTTTTTAATGTGTGTTGCACATCTTAACATTGGATTCATGTGCAAACATCATCATTTGATGAATTGAAAACCAAATCCAACTTTAGAAAGTTTTGTGTTATGGGTTATGAGCTAATAATCAGATTATTTGTTATGACAAGAAAAGGCTCGTCTATTTGTCCTTGCCTTGAAACTTTCAATAAACAACAATAATTTATTTCCTATTTCTTTTTATCTTATTTCTTTTTTTTTCAACCTGTACTCATCAATTTCCTAACTGTCACACATGGTTGTTAGAAAATTTGAAATGCTTGTTTGTTTGAAATGTTTGTTTTTTCTAGGTATCTAAGCGGTACCCTATTGAGGTAAACCTGACTATTTTTTTCAAGCAGCGGCTGCTGACGACGACTCCTAATTTCATAATACGCAGCCCTGGGACGTATAGAATAGATTTTAATTTCAAGTTCAAGATACGTAAGATCAATGCAGAGATGATGGACCAGTTGATAAGTGAGCCACTGCTGATAGTCCTGACGAAATTACGACATGGCCAACTAAACAAGGTGAACTATTTCTCGGCCAAGTCCTACAGTCGTTCAATGCGCTTTAGAAACAAACTAGAACTGATGACGGCGACGCCAAGAAGTCCGTCACTGACCGAAGAAGAGTTGAAAGAATTGGAGAAGAGGCAGATAAAGAGATTCAAGGGAGAGGAGAGCACAGTCCTTCCTTGCACGCTCGGAGAGTGTACCTTAGACCTTCTTCCCCTTGTTAAAGGTAACGGAAAAATTTACTCTTTTCATTTGGGATGTTCTGGAATATTTTTTCAGGGCAATTGGTTATTGAAGAGGAGCTTCTTTTGGAAAGGCCAATGAGATACCGCACCCTCCCACTTAGAATGAGACCCATCAATTCGAGAATGGTTCTCAGCATCAGAGTCTCTGATGAGAACAACTTCACAAAAGACTTGCCACCACTTCACAATGTCCTCATGTATACTGTAGAAGCTCTCTACAACTACGACGTTGAAAAGCTATCAGTTAATGAATTATCAACCATAACTGCCACTATGCCATTACCCCATAATGTTCCAACAAATTCTGTAAGCACTGTCTCGCTCTCTAAATAACAATTTTTGATTGGTGAATTGTTTCAGGAAGAGAGGGCTTTCACACTCTACCATTTTGAACCAGGCATTATTTCATCGTCGGTTAACATTGACTACAAAAAGAAATGGTATGGATTGGCAAACATATTGAGAGGAAAGGGCTCTTACTCAAATCATAGGTGAAACTCTCAGACTTATTCCATTCTCATTATTGTTTTTCGTTAAATTATATTGTTTCATTGTATTGTCCATTGGTATACAGTACTGGGATTTCATATACACTATACTACTCTATTACTATAGGAAATCAATTTATTGGAAAATATGTCAAATAGGTTCTTGATACTTACTACTAGAGAAACTTAAGATCCTGAGACTTAAATATAATCTTGTCACAATTAAAAATGAATTCACTGACTACTGATGTACATACACTCAAATCTGCACATGCAACCCATACATACATGTGTGAGCAGAATTGGCCTATCACTTCTTGAAGTCCACTGGCAATTCCAGCCTTTGTGATTTACAATAAATTACCAGCAGGCCTCAAGAATCACCTACCCAGTATTGGTAGTTTAGGGTTATACTTCAGTCTTATCCATCCACCCACTGAGATTGGGCTCCTGGAGTAGATGACAGCTAGGTCATCTCAGCCCCTAATGCACTACGTTTCTAAATCCTAGCCCATTCACACATATTTCTTATTTACACACTATCCACTCAGTTAAGGTGGTGGAGAATCGATCCCCTTTTACATCTAATATATAACCTATTTGATGGTTGATGGAATATTCAATATTCCACCATTGGCCCTCTCACACTACACATTCACGCCAGTAAATACATTCACTCTCAACACATGCTAGGTAAACAAAACTATCAGTACTATATACAATAAAGCAACCCTGTTTTCTCCAAGAATCTGAATGGGGAACCCAGAAAATTGTTGCCATGTACATTCTCATATCGAGTGGCATTCCTACACGTTCTCTATATGCAGCCTAGGAATGCCTCTATGGCCTCTATGGCACCCTTCAATTAAGTGGGATAATATCGAGCATCCTTTCTCTGCATGCTGGGCACATACTCGGGTTTTGTCCCAAAAGTAAGTGTCCGTGTGTAAATTTTGCATGGCCTATTCTTAATCGATGAGACTGACCCTTCTTCTACGAATCAGGTCTCCTGAGGGCCACTTACTGGCAGTGCTCTTGTTATGCAAGAGATAAAATGAATTCTGATTAACTGAACTGATTAAATCTTTTATTTGATATTAAAAAAAAAAAAAAAAGGTTCGTTTTTATAATCAAGAATTTACCAATCTTGATATTTTATTTGGTAAAGATTCTCTTTTAAGTATTGATGATTCTAACTTTTGGCATTAAAATTAATTAAATCCATTATATTTATTGGTCTGATTGACCAAATTACTTCTTACAATTAATTAACATTTTTATGTAAGGTTTTGGTTGAAATGAAAAAGTTAAAAAAAGTGTCACGAGCAGGATTCGAACCCAAGACCTTCGGCTCGATACGCCGCTGCTCTAACCACTTGAGCTATCATGACCTAACATTAAAATGAATTAATTAACCTTTTTACGTAAGGTACTGGTTGAAATGAAAAGTTAGTGTCACGAGCAGGATTCGAACCCATGTCCATTTCAACCAATACCTTACATAAAAAGATTAATTAATTGAAAGAAGTTATTTCACCAATCAGACCAAGAAATATAATGGAATTAAAATGAATGGTGTAATTTTAGTTAAAATTACCTCATTTAGTAATTTTTTTTTTTAAATTGTTATATAGCTTTTTATTTTACTAAAAAATATAGGCAAATCTATTTGTTCTATTCATAACAGCATTGCTTAAAAAGGAATAAAAAATATCTCCATAAAAAGAATAATGCATATTTAATTGAAATTTTATAGTAGTTATAAACCTAATAAATAAAAATATCTAATTATAAAAATTATTTAATTGTAAGGATTCCTACGGGCTACGATGGCATAATGAACAATATGGGCATCGATTTGCAGAAAAACATCGAGAAGCATCAACCGCGTATAAATTGGAATATTATGCGGCGTATTTACATGACACCAGAGACTGAGGACGTCTTCATCCACAACCTGATACAGTCCGTCTATTAGATAAATTGTGCTTCTGATATTTAATGCCTATGCACTTTTTAGGTACAGGTGCCTGCCGGTAGAGATACTGTTCAATATGAGTGGGACAGTAGACTTGAAGGGGATAACGGGCAAAACCATAGGATCCCAGAGCTCGCTGTTTAGCTACAGGAAGATGTCCCGCGTCTCCATAAGCTCTCAACGGCGAAACACCAAGCTCCGTAAACTCTTGGAATCGACTGATAATGTGGATGTTGGACATTTTGTCGCCTTCTTGGACATATCTAAACTTTTGATTCCTGGGGGTAACAACATATTCCGTCTCCCTCTATGCATGTTTTTAACTGTGATCTTTTTTTGTATAGTTACATCAGCTAGAATTGCTGCGCCTGTTCAGAGAATCAGTTCAGTTGATTATAAGCAAAAATGGAATGCAAAAGAACCAATTTTGAAAAATCATTTGGTGGGAGCTAATGTAAGAGGACTTTCTACTTTTTTTTAAATTAAATTCTTTCACTGCAATTGTACATTAACACAAAACATACTGTTTATAATAAAAGTGCTGGCATTAAACTGTTATATCTAATGAGGTAAAATCATTACATTTCAGATTCCCAACGCATATGAAGAAACTGATGAGTTCTCCATCCCAGGAACCACCTGTTTTATCATAGTTGAAATTAGCTTGATGAAACCCCTGATTCCAGAAAAAGAAAGCTTGGGTTGGGAAATGTCGTACGTGTATATTCTTGTCATTAATTTACATTTTAAGTTTTTATATATAAATATATTTTTCCTCCCAGAATGCCACAACTTGCTACTGAGAAAATTAATGATAATACTTTAAATAGTAATGTAGTACCTATGGACCATTTTGCAAAAGCCACCAAGTTCATAATTTTCCTAATTAAAAGAGAAATGGAAGATTTTTATATGTTGAGGCACTGCAAACAGTATTCTGAAGTGTCATATTATAAAGAAATGGATTTCTGGGGCCACCTCGGCCACTCGGGCGCCATGAAAATTATTCACGAGACTCTAAGAACGAGTGTAAACAATTACATTCACAATGTTTTAGGAACACCACAAGATAATCTGACTTCACTCGAAAGAAAAGTATAACGTTACAATTTGAAATAAGGAAACATTAATTTTCAAATGCAAAATTCTTACAGGAATATATGGCCAATTTATATTTTAAAATTGTAGACAAAATTCACCAAGTTATAAACACCTTACTTCAGTCAGACAAAGGCCGCATTGAAAAAATTGTGCACTACAGTAAGCCCGACATGGATGAGCTCTTGCTCTATGCTGTGGAGGCTGGTGAACAGCTACAATTTCCAAAAGCTAGATACTACCTAGCAAAGGTAAAACCAAAAAATTTCAAATAAGAATTTTAATAATAAGTTATTTTAAGAGGTTAGAAATGAATGGCTTCAGAAATCCTGACTACTGGTTTGACTATGGTGTCATGGCCCTAAGATTCGGCGATGTCTACCTGGCAATAGAGTCTATGAAAGAAGTGCTAGCCATCTACCCAAGACACAGGATGGGGTTTGTAATTGGATGTCGATGCAGAGTGCCTTTAACATAAATTTAGACTTTTAGCATATGCAATCTTGCTAACCGTAATGGGAGAATACGAGGAAGCTGAAAAGTTCTTCTATTCATGTGTCAAGTTCTACCCGACCTTTTGGCAAGCTTGGATCACTTATCATGTGTTTTACAAGCATATTGAGCTCTTTGAAGGTGCAGACATTACTTTTGTATTAGGTAAGCAAAATTTAAAATATGTTTTTCCCTTCTGGTACTAAATTTTACTTTGTTACTACAAAAGGAGTAAGGTATATGAGCGAATTTCCATTGAAAAAAGAATGGCAACCCAATATTCCTAGAATAACATGGTACATAGATCTCTGCAATTGTTTTAATGTATTCTTAGAGACTGCTAAATTTCTGCTGTCCTACAATCTGTTTGAGGTAAACTGTTTTCACAAATTTATCCAAGCCCTTTTCAACAGAAGCTCAGTTTGCAGAAATGTGCCTTGCCGAGTACTTGGATTCTGTAGACAAAAAGGACGTCTGTTTTTATTATTATCTCGCCGTGTGTCATTTTATTCAGGGCCGCTTTCAAGATAGTCTTGTTCATCTTGCACAACTCATCGAGGAAACTAACATAGAAGTAAAAATGTTAAGGTTTTATTACATGTGAAGGGATTGATAAATGCATGACTTTTAGAATTACAAAGTATGGTCTCTCATTGGATTCAACTATTATAACCTCGGGAACAGCGATCAAGCAAGAAAAGCATTCATCGAGGCACAGAAATGTCTTAAAGATTACTCAGCTGTCCCATTCATGCTAATCAGGTAAATAATGAACTTCCCACTGTTAAAAACAAAAATTTTAATTTTTTTTTTTTTTTTTAAGAGTTGGATTTGATTATATAGAGAGGGGTTGTTCAGAAAAGGCGAAAGAATTCTTTTTAGAAGTGTTGAAAACATATCATACTCCTTTGGCTTGGACTGGTCTAGGAATTTCTTATTACTTGGTATAAATAACATCAACTAATGTACAAACATACGAAACGTGATAATAATTATCTGTAAGGTAAGATGGAAGATTTTGAAAAATCCGAAATTGCTCTTCTTGAAGCAAATGCACTTGACCCGAATCAAGCAATTGTCTGGACATACTTAGCATTGATCTTTCTTCAAAGGCATTCACTATTTTTATACGTACAATGTCTTCTAGAAGCCAGAAGGGTACCGAGCGTGTTTTGCATCCTGAAAGCATGCAATAATACATTTTTATTTTTCAGTGTGGGCTAGAAGACAAAAAATTATTCAAACAACTAGAAGCATTGCAAGAAAGAATGTATTCTGAATCGACAGTCAAGCAAGAAATATCTGTGGCAGAAAAATCCCCAACGAACAGTTTATACTGTCAGTATTTTTTTATTTTCTTAAATATTGTTTCATTTGCATTAAATACATAATTAATATTTTATTATAGGTCTGCCAAAATGCTGTAATAATTAGAAGGAATTAATATATTTCATGATTTGTTATAGAACAATAAATCATTTAAACCATTGTTTAAATATTATACTTAGATCAGGAAAGTGTGTGCATATGTGTGATGTTTTGTGTTAATGTATAAATTTCTTTGTTAAATCATTTTGGTATACCTATCCTTGCCGGTTTGCTTGTCAGAAAGCAAGAAGACAAAATGTATCTATCGACAAAAACAGTGAGGTTATGCAGAACAAATTGATGAGAAACAACCAAATTATAAATGTAATAGTGGCCTTAAAATGCATGTATGAAAAAGCCTACATTGGACAAAGAACATTGAGATCACAAGGGGTGTATTGCAGGGTGACTCACTGAGTTCACTGTTATTCTGCATATTCATGGCTGATCTTTGGCCTCTAAAGTATCCATTTTTGGATGTGTGTAGTAAGATGCTAGGCTACAAGGCCTAGAGAAATTATATTGGCTCCTTTCTTGGCCAACATGTTCACTTTCTCATTGCCTCTTTGCCCTGAATGCCCAGGGACCCATGCCAGGATTAGGTCATTTGTATCACTCCCACAATGCCATATGCTTTTACCTTTAACTTGCATGGAGCTAAGGCCTTAAGTGCTGCCTAAATGTCAAAGAAAATCATGATTGAAGTTATAGCAGTATAAAGATGGCAGTCTACTCTAAGAACGCACAGCACAACCTATTTCCTATTGACTGCAAAGGTATGATTGTTAACCAAGTTGTTATAACTGTGTAAGCTTGCTAACCAGAGTAACTTGTATTAGAGATCTTGGTGTCATCTTTGATAATAATCTTACCTTTAAGCTACATTTACAAGAAATCAAAAATCTCTCCTTTAAAATGCTTGGACTCATCATTGGAAATACCTATCAGTTCAAAAATCCTTCTTGCTATGTCCATCTATATAATTCACTTGTTCGACTTACTATTCAATATGCCTCAATCATCTCGCACTATAACACTGACATAAAACTTCTTCAAACTGTTCAAAATAAATTCCTTAATCCATTACATTTCAAATTAAACTGTCATATTGAAAAACTCTCATAATTCTGATCTTACCTGCACAAGAAAGTATTTTTATTTTCAAATTAATAATTGTATAGATTTCCCAGAAATCCTTGGTAAACTCCAATTTCATGTACCTCCTTGCCATCTCAGAAATTATGAAATATTTTTATTGAATATAAAGGAACAAATTTTTCATTACACTCCCCGGTGCATTGCATGTTAATAAGATGTAACAACATATGCAATACTGTTGACTTATTTAATGCCTTTCCTCATTAAAAGTCAGTTACTTAATGCATAATAATTTTATTTACTTAAAAAAGCTAAAAATGTACTATGTATGTAGTTATAATGCTTTGTTACATTATTTTTATTTCTGTATAATTCCTAGTCGTTATAATTATATGGACAGGGTGTTTAATTAATTTGTTGTTGTTTTATTTATAAGGATTCATTAATTTTTAACTGCACTAGTTCATATGGCTTTGTTCATTTTAACCTTCTGATGGTGTATCGGTTATGTAGGAGTTTGGTTGCTTCCACCAGAGACTGCTTTTGACAGCAAATCTTTGTATTTCCGCCATGACCTAAGGGATCTTAAGATCCCTATGTAATCCCTACTCCTTATGTGCCAAGGTGCAGTGACCATGTTCCGTAAGATTTTATTTTGGAGTGTTTGTATTATTTTGATATTGTTGTGTTTGGTACAACCCCACAGTTGAATACCATATGTCCACATAGACTTTAGGACTTGAGAGGAAAGGTCTCTTACCCAAATCATAGGTGAAAATCTCAGACTTATTCCATTCTCATTATTGTTTTTCGTTAAATTATATTGTTCCATTAAGTATTGTTCACTGATGTACAGTACTGGGATTTCACATACACTATACTATTCTAATACTATAGGAAATCAATTTATTGGAAAATGTGTCAAATAGGTTCTTACTAGGTCAAATAGGTTATAGATACTTACTACTAGAGAAACTTAAGATCCTGAGACTTAAATATAACCTTGTCACGATTAAAAATGAATTCACTGACTACTGATGTACATAAACTCAAATCTGCACATGCAACAAATACATACATGTGTGAATAGAATTGGCCTATCACTTCTTGAAGTCCACTGGCAATTCCAGCCTTTGTGATTTACAATAAATTACCAGCAGGCCTCAATAATCATCCTCCCAGTATGGTAGTTTGGGATCAGACCTCAGTCTTATCCATCCACCCACTGAGATTGGGCTCCTGGAGGAGACGACAGCTCGGTCATTTCAGCCCCTAATGCACTACGTTTCTAAATCCAAGCCCATTCACACATAAATGCATTCTTTCTTATTTACACACTATCCACTCAATTAAGGTTGTGAAGAATCGATATTCCTCCATCACCTTTTACATCTAATATGTAACCTATTATGGTTTGATATTAACTGATATCATCGCTGTGCCATCTGCAAACGTTGCAATTTTTACTCCATCTATTTTCAGAAAATCACTGGTTTATAACAAGTAAAGAAGTGGGCCTAATATGCTAGCTTGTGGCACTCCTGCATTTTTAATTTTGAAAATATTGATCTTGTTTGACCCTAAACAGTCAGTCAATTAGGTAGGAACTGATAATATCTACCTGCTTTGGTAGCAACCCTTTTAGTTTATTGAGTCACTGAAGATGGCAAGAAAAAAAGTTTTATGAGTGCACTGCAAGCGATAATAGAACCCAAAAAAATGATCAGGTTGACACTTTTTTTTATCACGTGTATGTCTTGTATCATTTGGGTTGTATCATGAATCAGTGGCAGCTGTTTTTTTGTTTTTAAAGTTTAATAGTTCATTCCACTTGATCTCCTGTCGTGACATCATTTGTGTTGAATCAGAGGAGTGTTCAAATTCTCCTAGGTGTGTTTGCAGCAGACTGTTGCTGAGACCCTGCAGGATAAGGTTTATCAAACTTGGCAGTTGGCGTTTAAAAAGTTAAATCTTCTTTTCCTGTCGACACGTGATCAACATCGGAACAAAAGCTTTTTCTTCTCATTGTCAGTTGCTTTGTTCTTTTGAACAAAGCCAAAAATCGCAGCAATGGCTGTTTACAGACAGGTGGACCTCGACTCTTTGATGAAAGCGTCAAGAGGCAATCCTGAAGTGCTGACCATCGAGGCGACCGTTATCACAGGTTTTGAGTTCCTTGCAGTAGACGAGTGCAAGGAAAAGTGCGACCCCCTGGCTGTCTGCAAGGCGACAAAGGGCAGGATTTATTTTAACGTCTCCCTGGACAATTTCCACAAGGTTCGTCAAAGCTCTCCTGCCCGTAAAATTTTCTCCAAACGCAGCTCAATTAATAGAAAGTTAATCTGTAAATTTTAAACGCATTGATGAGATCCCGGGGTGATGATTGTCCTTGGGTGGTTTCCTGTCTGCCTATCCTTGCAGGTTTGGTCTGTCAGATTTGAGCTTCTCAACATCTTCAGTGCATGGCATCAAGGCTAGAAGCAGGGAGAGGAAGGTGCACAAACTCCCCTTTGAAGATGGCAAAAACCTAAATGCATCCGACATACCAAAACAGCAAGGGTATGCAGACCAGGATGATCGGAAACAACCAAACTAAAAGCAGTACACTCTTTATCTGCGGAGGATAGGTACCAAACATCACCATGGTTCTGCATCTCAGGCTTCAAAGTATTTTCTTCTGTCTGCATACCAATCAGACACTTTGTTTCATGTGTCAGTGGTATGTATGAACTTACGTACACATATTTCAGGGTTTTATTCAATAAGCAAAGTACAATGTATGCATTCCACACAGGAAAACAATATGTACATACATATAGCAGGTATGCACCTTTGCACCATATCAAAACAAACGAGAAAAAATACTTAGGAGCCTAAAAATGATAAACTTTATAAAAAAGTTTCATTAAATTCCACTGTGATAAATCAGCGAACTTTGCTATTGCTAGCTTTGTCAAAGAACATTGTTATAGAAGGATGCTTTGTCTGATTTTTTAGATGCTGGATGTGGATTTATATAAGCTCAGCACATGTACAGAGTTGAGCCTATCCTCACAGTCCACTGACAATTCCAGTTTTTGTAATTTACATTTTCCTCAGATTTTGGCAGTATAAGGTCAGACCTCAGTCTTGTCCGTCCAATCACCAAGGGTGAGCTTTGGGTGTTGTAAACAGCTATGTCAATTCAGCATCCAATGCAAGCAGTTCCTAGATCTAAACCCATTCACTCATTCTTTCCTGTTTCCATACCATTCTCTCAATTGGTAATAGAGTACTCAATATTCCTCCCTCACCCTTTACATCTACAACCCTGTTTCCTCCAAGAAAAGGATCAGGGGATCCTGATACTGCCATGCTCTTCAAGTACAATTTTCATGTCGGGTGGTATTCCTTCACGTTCTCTACATGGTGCCAAGGAGTACCCTTCAATTGGGTGGGAGACATTGAGCAAACTTTCTCTGCATGCCAGACACATATGCCAGCTTTGGCTCCAAAGTAGATCTCTAAACCTCGCATGGCCTCTTCTTAATCAGGTGAGGATGACCCTTCTTCTACAAGTCCAATCCTCCACCTATTGACAGTGCTCTTAATTCGTGAGGGTCTCTCTACCGACCCGGCCCACTGATGCTGCTACCTTCTTTTATTTGTTTTTAGATCAAGGGGCCAGATTGTGGTGGTTAAGTACAGAGGTTGGAAAACCTTACCTACCTCATCCACCTTTTTGTTGCCCTCCAGACCTAGGTATCCAGGTACCCAGAAAACAACGACTGTTTTGCCGAGATATCCCAGTTTGTAGCATCTCTTCAACAAATGGACAATGCGAGGGTCGATGGAAAACATCAGGGATAGCAAATACAAAATTTTTCCTATTGTCCATTCCTGTTTTTCTTCTATGTTATCCTCTTCTTTATCCTCTTTTGTGGTAGATTTGTTTCAAACAAATTCCCTTTCTCTGCTAGAACTCAACTAGGGGTGCAACCACAAAGGAATGAAAGCACGAATAAGAGTCTACTACATGTTAAATAATGTTCGAGAACAGTTTCAAACATCATCTTAACCTCTTTTTTTTAAATAATATAAGAACAAAAAATACCAATAGTTGAAAAGGATGGTTCTACTCACAAACTGGTGAGGAAGTCTACAAATGCATTTTCCGTGAAGATTGTAGACTTGTAGATTTCTTTCAGTGTGATGATGAACATCTAATGCTTGAGATGCTCGAAATCTGGATCACTGCAAACTCAATTCACGAGTAGGACCATCTATATTAACTGTAAAGTTGATATACTTGCTTCGTCTTGTTTCATTCATTCATTACTAGTTTTATTTTACAAAATATCAACTTTAATTCAAGCACCTCACCTATTAGTTGCATGGGCATTCAGCAATGCCATTAGAATATTTCTTGACCCAGGAAACAATAAAATGTTTTTATATTATTTACAGGATACAGAAAAATGAAATGTTTTACGTAAAAATTTTTCTTTTGTTTCTTTAATTGTCTGTTTAATATTATCTACAAATTTCCAACAATCAATATCAAAAGATTAATAATGAAATATTTTTCATTATAAGAAAAGTGATGATTGACATCCCTCCAACGTTTAAAATCTTATTTTAAAATTAATAATATAATAATATATATAAGCTTATTGATTTACACTTCCTCAGATGTGATTTTATATATTTTTCTGTTTTTATGTAGGTATTCTCTCTTAAATCAATTGACAACCTTTTCCTTGTTGGTGAATACATAGATAATATAGGCTTCCAAGGAAACAAAGTAAGTAGTAAAGATATAACAGATATTTGCATTATTATCCTATATTTTATTATAATTATAATAACTTGTCTTGTGTGATCTTTGTAAGTGTATCAGATGTTTAATATTAGCATAGGGGGATGGGGGATAGGGAAAAGGAGGTCACAAGGTCTTTTGCACCTCGACCTTAGTTTATTTTATAACCACCTCCGCCAATTTTATAAATCACAGGCTAGCTTCAGGTTATTAATCAACCTCCATAGCCTTGCCAATGGGTCCTTAGTGTAGGATCATGCTTGCAGCATGCTCTTAGTTGCAAGAATCTACACCTACATAAACCCTCACAGAAACATAAAATGTGTTCTGCAGTCTTCTCTTCTTCCTCCTGGCAATATCTAACAGGAGTTCGAACAGAATCCTGGTAATCCTGCAGTTACCCTCCAGTAATTCCTTTGTAAGTCTAGCATGGCCCTTGTCTGAATCTCTTCGCACACCTCGTGTCTGGGGGTGTTGTTCCACTGGTTTTGTACTCATCAAGGATCCATTTTTGCATGTATCCTTTTTTTTTTTTGTTGTGCCAGGGTGGTTGTGCCACATATAGGTGGCCATATAGAATACATATTGGCTTCTTTTTTTTCCAACATATCTGCCCTCTAATTGCCTCTATGTCCCGAATACCAGGGTCAGGTCATTTGTGTAATTTCTGCCAAAGATTCCATACAATTTCATATACATTTCGCCTTCTCCTTGAGGCTAAAACAAGTATTGCCTGACAGTAGGAAAAAATGGTTATCTTCCTGGAATGTGTTCTAGCCTTTTTATTTCTCTGGCGCAGTTTTCAATTCCTCTGGTTTCAGACTGGACTCAGGTTCCTGTGTCCTATATGTTTTTGAGCCATTAGTTTAACAGAAGTCATTGGCCTTCAGAGGTATCCTTCAGCCTACTTTTCTGGTATTAGTACTTATAGTTGTTGGCAAAGTTGTATTTGGAAGTAGTGGCATCAATTGGCATAGTAGTGCATCTGCCTTTATCTCCTCCCTCTGTGTCCACTTTTCGTTGATGTGGCCTATCCATGTAGATAGATGGTTGCCCTTAAAGGTTGGGAAAATTATGTTAATTTTGTTGGTGCCTTTCAATAATCACTGGATTTCTGTCTTTCCTCAAATAACCCAGCTGAAAATTTTTTCACTATCAATTAATCTTCGTGCTTATTCAAAATTAGTTTTGCAAATGCTAATTCGGCATACTTTTTATAAGAGCAACGAGAGCTGCTTAATCTTTTCACCAAAACGACCTTTTATTTTTTCCCCTACCCACCAGCTATACCTTAGGGTGACCTTATACCAGTGGAATGCACCAATTTTTTAAAATTTAATTTATTTATTAAAACTGGTCTTACTAGATACCATATGTGCCATTTTAGTAAAAAAATTTATCTGAAAAAGGAACTTTTAAATTTAACATCTTACTCAGCCCTACCTGTCTAAACTTTTTTTTACATTTGTTTATGCGATTAAATTTCTATTCTAAAGGGGTCTCCTCTTGTTAATATCCTCATCAAAATAATGCAAAGGGCACTAATCTGGATTAACCGAACTTGTGCACCCACTTGTTAATAATTTTCTGTATAAATATTAACAAATAAATAGTTACATAAATAATTACGAATAAATTAATAATTATAATAAAAAATACACATTTACATACATGAATGAGTTGAATATATTTATCCAAATCATAGAATTAAGCAGGGCCACCCATGATGTCCACACTGAAGATTTAAAGAAGTTGAATAGACTTTTCTCTTTTATAAACCCCCTCAAATCTGGTGGTCAAATTTGCTGGGAATAAAGCATTTTGCTTTTCCATTTCTCTCTGTTTAAGAGTGCAGGAGAGTAATCTGTGCCTTACATCATCTTTCATCTTGAATACTGAGCATAACGGGCTGTTGTATATTTTTATCAAAGCGTGCTGTAAAATTACTGTGACCTGTTAGCATTGGCATTGTATGAAAATTGGATAGTTCCCATTTTGTTTTTACCTTCTCTTTACTACGTAGGGAAGTATTTAAAAGTCAGTCAATCTTCAACATCTGGCAAGTTTGGCTTTTCCATCCTTGATTTGCCTAAGTTGCTACCTTGCTTTGAAGGACAATATCAATGGATTGGGCGTAAACTTGATGTAAGGAGTGTGGATGTTGTCCTGTACCCTGAATGGCTATCCTTTGGTTCTGCTCAAGCATGTTTCTAGTACTGCTTTTGGTTTTTGTCACTGTTGCCATTTCTGTACATATCGGCAGGTAGTTTTTTGCACCATTGATAAGGCTTTTGTGCTCAGCCCCCAATTCATTTTTGCTCTTCTGCTCAGTTTATAGAATATACCCTTCTCTTGTTGGGTGATCTCTCTTCTTTTTAATACATGGGGAGTAGGTTTGTAGGGTTTAACTTTTCTCCTATCTTTATCCTGACGTATTTCACTTTTTTGCTTGGCTTAATATGTTCACCCTCTCTTTTTAGATCGGGTGGACAAGTGAGCTTACTTCTTGCCGTTAGTGAATGGCACTTATCACTTATCAGGGGAGATGGTCCTTTTTACATTATTTTGCTATTTCAGCTGTAATGCTTTTGGTCTTTTCTTCGAGCTCTCCTTTTGTGTTAGCTGAAGGTTCTAGTTTATCGACATAAGTGGTGAAATCAGTTTCCAATTTTTCAAGTCTTTCAACAGTCTTCCAGAAAAAACCCAAAACTGACCCTTGAGGATAGCTCTTTGTCATATTTCACCTTGAGGTGGTGTACTTAGTTATAATTTCTGCTTCCCTGTCTTCAAACTAACTAGAAAGGATTCTAAAGATGTCTCACAATCAATCTTTCCTTTTGAGTTTAAGTAATAGCATCCATTCAACAGAATCTAAAGCACCTTAAAATTATTCAACCTATAGTTTGGTCATTTCTATTTATTTATCGGGTTGTCCGGAAAATAATGCAGGATTTTAAGTTTTCATTAAAAAAAATCTATATAAAATATTCTGTTTACGTTTACAGGATTACTCATTTGTATGNGGAAATTATTTTGATTAAAGAACATTGCTTTAAAGTAACTAGTTTCTTTTTTTTTGTTTAATACCAAAATCCTGCATTATTTTCCGGACAACCCAATAGTTTCTCACCAACTTAGCTGAGTAAACATTAGGAAATAAACAGGGAAAATCTGATACACAAGCATACCTCTGAAGATAGTGAGAAGCTAAAATGTCTGATAGACCAAAACAACAAAGATAGCAAAACAAAATGATCGAAGACTACAAAACTAGCATTTACCCTTGTCAGTCTTTTTTAAAATGTCCATTGTGTCTGTAATATTCCAATAAACAAGACCTGTTTACTTCCTGCTTCTGCATCATTAGTTAGTTAGCTTATCCTAACAGGTTTTGATCCCAATTAGTTCATACTAGTGAGACTACACTGTTTTCACATTTTACATTAAAAAACAAATGTATTTTTTCTTCCAGGAAAAAGATTTGGAAACAATAAAATCACTTGTAAACGTGGTTGACTGGACTGGATTTATCACTACATGGAGTAAATTGGTCTCGTATAAGGGTATACTTTTCCCTAGCAAAAATGCAAAAACCGAAGTTAAGCCAGAGTCATCTGAGAGTTCTGAAAGCTCTTCAGAGACGCGCAGAGAAGTCCAAAGCAGTGATTCGAGTGTTGAATCAAAAGAGAAGGACGAAAGCAATTCTTCAATTTTGAACAATGATCTGAAAGATTTCCCTGTCATTTCGGGAAATGAATTGCATACTCTAATGAATGAAATTGATAGCCTACTCGAGGCAGATATTAAATGCGATGATACAGATTTTACTGTCCTTACCGCATTGGGTCATAGCGAATTTCACGTTGATGATATAGATTTCACTTCAGTTAACAAAAAACTTGAGAATTTGATCAATCCAGGTACCATTTGCGAAAACTTCTGCGAATCCTTGCTTGATAAAACGGTTCCGCAAATAACCAGCAAATATTTGATGGGCGACTTGGCTGAATCCAACGAAAATTCTTTACGAAGTGATTCTGAATTAATGAGACTTTATGATGAAAATGTACTTAAGGATGAAAAAGGTGGCGACACTAAATTCTATGATGATGTCCATTCAAATAAACATGATCTATCAGCTCTTGAGGATACGACCAATTCTAGCGATTACAAAAAAGATTACAAGAAAGGCAAAGATAAAAAGAAAAAAGATCGAAGTGGTAAGTTTAAATTCATTTGGGTAATTTTTTTTTTTGTTTTGGATTAATTAAATATTAATTCTGGTCCAGAATGTACAACAATTCAATTTTTTTATATATATAACATATTCCCATTACTTAAAGAAATTAGAATTATTTTTATTGCCATTTCAATTGTCGTCGAGAATCCAAACCGATTACACGACATTAGAAAAATGGTAAAAGGAGGAAAAACTCATAAGGTGGGGTTGAGATGGGGAGTTGATGTCCGAGTGGATCGAGGTCACGATAGCTCAGGTGGTAGAGCAGCGGCGTATCTAGCCGAAGGTTGTGGGTTCGAATCCCTCTTGTGCCATTAACTTTTTTTCATCTCAACTAAAAGCCTTAATTAATTGTCATGTAATATTATTTTTTACCCAAACAATTATTACTAGGTATTAAAGTGATTACCATATAACTTTTTTGTCACTTAGCTTCAAGTTTTCCTAATTTTACCATTAAGTGTGCAGGAATAGGTGTGTGGGTGTGTGAATAATATTAAAATAATATTGTTTGTAGTGAATATAACATTTAAAATAGTATATTTAAATAGGAAAAAAGAAATCTAGGAAGGATCAAGAAGAGCGAAAAAAGCAAGTAGGACCAGGGCCAAAGCCATATGTGGATGATGGAATTCTCAAGTATCGAGTGACTTGTTATCGAGCAGGGACACAGCACAGCTTTTCTTCTATGGAAGCTGCTGCTGAGTTTGGAGGTCGATTGCAAGACACTTTTAATTGGACAGTGGACTTGACCAGGTTTGACCTTAACATCTTCCTTGTAATTGAGCAAAGTAAGGACTTGTGAAAGCCGGTGTAAACACGATTGTACTGTAATCGTCTGATTTTCAGATAGCAGTTATATCACAAGTGCCTTGACAAAAGAATCATTTCATAGAAGGAACATTACACATTTTGGAAGAACATCATTAAGAGCTACTATGTGCTATAACCTCATGCGTCTTGCCGATCCGGCAGCAGGAGAAATTATTGTAGATCCACTTTGCGGAGGAGGCTCTATTCCAATAGAGGTTAATTTACTTAAAAGTTCACTTATTTTATACAAACCATATATCATTTCACAAAATTAGCATGTTGTGATACTGAGGTCTGATTTATATAAGCTCAAATCTGCATTGCATGTACATTCACATCTAAGAGTTGAGTCCATCCCTTCTCCCAGTCCACCGGCAATTCCAGCATTGCACCTTACAATGAATTAACAGCAGACCTTGAGAATCACCCGCCCGGGAGTTGGCAGTCTGGGGACAGACTAATGTCTTATCCGTCCAGCCACCAAGGTTGAGCTACAGGAGCTACCATTACAGCTAGGTCATTTCAGCCCCCGAGGCAATCAGTTCCTAAATCCAAACCCATTTACACTCTCACTCACTCTTAAATACATTCTCTCTAGTACTCGATATTCTTCCATCACCCTATAAACCCATTACTATCAGTTTTGGCGGAATATTGAGTACCGCATCTACCCTCGCACACTACACATTTACACTAATAGTTACTTACAATAAAAAAATCCTGTTTTCTCCAAGAATCAGAACAGGGGACACAGATACTTGCTACAATTCTCATATCGGGTGGCATTCCTAAGCGCTCCATATAAGGAGCAAAGAGTTTTCCCCTTTATTGATACATTTATAAAACACATCCTCCAACACTCTTCAACAAGCTTTATAAGCAGGGCGGCTGTAACAACACGTTAAGTGGGACACATCATGCAACTTTCTCTACATACGGACACATATGTGGGCCCAAGAATAAGTGTCTATGTATCAACCTCACATTGCTTATGCTAATTAGGTGAGGATGACCCTTCTCCTTGATCGTTTTGAGTGTGTTGTACATGAGTATATTACTGTTATTTGTCTATATACTTCTACTCTCAACTAAAGTAGAATTTTTTACCACAGGGAGCTTTAAGCTTTCCAGGCACTTTTCAAATAGGAGGAGATAAAGATGACAAAGCGATAAATAGGACTTCAGCAAACATCACACACCTTACTAAAGAGAAAGGTCTCCCTATAGATGCGTTTAAATGGGATGCATTAAACATCCCGTTTAGAGATCAAACTGTAGACGTGTTTGTGACAGATTTGGTAAAACTTTACATAAAATAATCACGATTAATATTACAGTTAAAATTAATTTTAGCCTTTTGGAAAAAGAAGCGGCCTGAAGAAAGACAATTTTGCTCTCTATGAAAATCTGCTCAAAAAATTGGCCAGGGTTGTCAAAATGGGCACAGGCAGGGCTTCACTTCTCACTTACGACAGGAAGGCTCTCACACAGGTTTTGGATGCATATACAATTATATAATTTACCAAACTTATCATTTAAACCTTTAGGCTATTTGGATGTGCAAGTACTGGAAGCAGACTAGGACATTCAGTGTTAACCATGGTGGTCTTAATTCATCAGTTTTCTTGCTTACAAGAACATTAGAGGCTGTAGAATAATTTATATATATTATCCTTAGGATTATGCATTATTTATTTGTTGTTGTTTTTTTACGTTGAGTTTCAACAGTGGTGGTGTTCTGTTAATTTATTTTGTGCATTAAAAGTAAGCAGTTTTATTTTAATTATTTAAATATTGTAAAGAAATATTTGTAATAATCGTTTGTAAGAAAAATCAATTTAATTTTCATTATGAAAGATTTATTTTTCTAAGGGTTGTTTATCAAGAAAAACAAATAAATTATATCAGTTTGCAACTGTTATTAATTAAATAAATCCCTATTCATACCTCCATTCATTTTTTGTTTAAAATAATTTTTAACAGCACCAAGCATCAATGCAATTTCTAATTACAAAAGTACTATCTTCAATACTGATGAATTGAGGGAAGCCATCGAAGTAGATTGAAGTCAAACATAGAAGTTTGTCAAAGTGTTTATCATAAGCACCATTCGCTCTATCATAGTTAAGAAAATTATATAATAAATGCTGTCATGGAAACTGCAAATGAATGAGATGAATATTGTAATTTCAAAATCATATGTTTTTGTAAATCTAAAAACAAAAATTTATGTGTTGTTATTTGTATCAAAATTTCATTAATACTTTAACATTATTATTACACTTTCATAACTACCTAAATGAAATATCTCAAAAATCCACCGTTTTCCAACACTTGTACTATACAAAAACATACGTTTTTTTTTCTTTTTCTTTTGTTTTTTTAATTATACATTGGAGTTTCCATGACAGCATTTATTATATAAAAAAAGAAAAACCACTACTTATTAACGAGTGTGATTTTCAACTTGTTACTATTTCTATCATCTGTAATTTGATTAATCATGATGAAACACAACAATGGTAAGTGTGAATTACATGAAATGAGTAATTTAACCAACAGCTATCCGTCGGTATTGACCGGCAATAACCAGCATTATTTAAATAAGCAAAAAGATAGGAGCGTTAAAAATAAAGTGAACAAAATGTCATCTAACCTGAACAATTACATGAAGAGAAAAATGGATGATTCTGGAAGGATTGAGGCAAAAAACCCAAACTTGGATGACCTTGGTGGTAAGGGTTGCACTCATCCTAAGGACGTGATGGCATTGTGCGACCAACATTGTTCGACATCGATGCTTGAAGTAACAGCTGCAGATATTGAAAAGTTAAAAAATGTTTATTCTCGTTTAATCACCCGTGTTCAAAATTTAACCATATCAAAAGGAAGTGGCAATTTTGGTATGACCTCCAGTGTCAAACGATTAAATGGATTGCTTAAACAATTGAACAAAGACGGGGATCAAAATTTAGACGTTTTGAAATCATTTCTACAGGGGATAAATTCACTTTGGTTAGAGTACAAACGAGAGAAGAAGGAACAAAGAAAAAAGATGGCAAACAAAAAGGGTAAAAACAGAAACGCTCACACAGCTACGGATATAATGAGAAATGAACAGACCCCAAGACAAAAAATTGATAGTGGACGATACTCAAAAGACAGAACAACAAATAATTCTTGTCAACAGAGTACAAATGTTCCCAGATCAGAACATCAAAATAATAGTACAACACAGAAGACGGGACATATTGAAGCAACTGAAAAGACATGTCCTGACTCAATGAAAATGTCGAAGAATAAACTGCTAGACAAGAAAAGGAAAAGAATTCCAACTGGACAAAATTCAAATCATCAAACTCGACAACAAAACCAATCTCGTGAAGCACAAGCCATCAACAAGACAGTTCAGACGCACAAATTAATGAATCCGGTAAAAGAACACGATGGTTTATCGCAAGTTCGGGATAAGCTAACAGAGACTATTGCTATCATAAATGCAGTTCAGTCAAATTTCATACAATCGAATAAAAAGTACCTACCACCGATTCGTAGGAAAGACACATCTTGTCCAGAAAACCATGTAAAAAATGCAAATTATGATAGTAGCTCTGNTTTTTTTTTTTTTTTTTTTTTTTTTTTTTTTTTTTTTTTTTTTTTTTTTTTTTTTTTTTTTTTTTTTTTTTTTTTTTTTTTTTTTTTTTTTTTTTTTTTTTTTTTTTTTTTTTTTTTTTTTTTTTTTTTTTTTTTTTTTTTTTTTTTTTTTTTTTTTTTTTTTTTTTTTTTTTTTTTTTTTTTTTTTTTTTTTTTTTTTTTTTTTTTTTTTTTTTTTTTTTTTTTTTTTTTTTTTTTTTTTTTTTTTTTTTTTTTTTTTTTTTTTTTTTTTTTTTTTTTTTTTTTTTTTTTTTGTAGGTTCTGTTTCGACTCCAGCATTATTTCGTTTTAAAGCCAGTTCTGTTCCAACTGTCATATCAAGGAGCGGAATGAAAGAGGAATGCATGAAAGCTAAGTCTGCTTTGGAAATTGGCCATAAAGCCAATACATTTGAAATAGGAAGTAAACCAAGTAGATTGCCCATTTCATTGCCTCCAGCGAGTGACGACTGCTGTTTACTGCAAATTTTACAATCACCATTCACGTTAACTAGTCAAGGTGGTGATTTTATTGACAACAAATTGAAGACTGCACCTCAGGAAGAACAGCTGGCCAAAATGCAGGGTACTGGTTCGCCTGGTCTATCCCAACGAGTTGCAAGAAAAAGGAAATGGTTAGGTACCAGTAGTCGAAACATTTCAGCCAATGAAAGATCTTATACTCGAAGCCCTCCAACAGGCAACAGAAAGAAAGCATTAAGAAAACAGAGTAAGACATCATCTCATTTAGAGACACCTAACTCTTTGTCCAAAGATGGTCATTCTTCTTCATCTGTAAAAAGTGTAAAAAATAATTACTTATTAGAGAAGAATAAAACAAGACATGAAAATATGGTTGACAGAGTACAAACTGAGAAAATTCAAAAGTCTAAAAGCGAACCATCTTTATTTTGGAATAAAATGAATCGGCAATGCAAACATCATGAGGAAAATTTGCGAATCTCAAAATCAGAACAAGATTTTCGTCTGGGGACAGAAATTTTAGGACACCTTGGACATACACAACTATCACCTCAAGAGAATAAAAAGACACCACACAGCACTGTATCATCCTTGTCATGTAATACCCGTCCATATTCACATTCCGTTTCTATAGAGTCTGAAGCTGAAACATACCCAGATGACTTTACACAGGTCGATAGTACAAACAGTGACAATGATAGGAATATTGTTATGGATGGCGACATTGAAAGAACAGCAGGTCTCAACATTAAAATAAATGAAGACACAGTCTCTTATGATCCCAGTTCAATAAAAATTTCAGTTGCACAGCACAGAATCTCCAGTCCCGATCGTGAATCCACACCTCAACACCATCCATTGAAATCTTCATTGCCCAGTCAAGACGATTCAATGAACGAAATTACGAAAGTCGCTGGGCTTAAAAAAATTCAGCAGTTAAAGATGCCGCTAAAAATTGGTGCAGAAAATGCAGAAATTATAATTTATTATTCGAAAAAAGGTTCTACCATCAATGACAGCACTGGTCATGAAAAAAAGGACATTTTACTAAGCGAAACAATAGAATCATTCAAGGATATGCTAAATTGGATGTTTCAATCTGTTTTTTCACCTACATCTGAAGAACATCCAACCCAGATTATTTCTACCCCCAAAGTGTACGATACAATCAATTTCACCCCAAAAACTGAACCAGTACATGTGTTTCGATTTAAGGCTACACCAGCCACCTGCAACCGACTCGAATAATCTTTAACCATTATTTTTGATAATTAATAAATAAATGTTAACTATAAGCTTGAACTTTTATTACACGTATTTATTACGTATGAAGTAAATTTATATCCTTCATGGACTGACAAAAACCTTTTTATTTTTTTTTTTTAATTTGGGGAAACAAAATAATTTAGTAGCAATTTCAATAAATTACAAATATCAAGTATATGTTAATCTGCCTACTATTTAATGTTGTTTTACGCTAGATGATTTCACCTCCTTCATATGGCTTACTGAAGGATTCACATAGTTATACCTGTTTTAATTTGTAAAACTAATGAAAAAATAAAATTCCTAAGGAAAAATGGTCAATGCAAAATAAACTGTAAATAACAACACAAACTCACTTGATATAAACTATGATTTTATTCTTATCGCAGTACACAAATTTAGAGTAAGCCTGCGCCGGGCACAAATGTGCCATAAATTATCTATCTATCCAGCATTTTGTTAGTCCTAAAAATCAATATCACATCAATATGAGCAGCAATTAAGAATTATTATCATTATTATTATTTTTACCTTTTGTCGATAAAAGTTTATATATTTCAACTTTTATTCAATTTTTTATATATTTTAAAAGTTTAAAGAAACCTGTAAAGTATTGTTCAACTTTGTTGCTGAACTGTTTTGAAAAATCTAAAAATCCATTGAAAAAAGATAATTATAAGGTAATGAATTCACAATTACATTCAATACTGCTTTGCCTTTTAGGAATGAATTTTAGCAATAGCTGAGCATATCAAGCCCAGTTCCAGCCAAAGTTCACGGCATACGTCTAAATTACAAGTTGTGTTCTGAAACTGTTTTCATCAAAAGACCTTTGCGCTTTTTATGCAGTTTGCCTTGCCTAAAAGAATGCAATGATATTTGTATTAATGGTAAAGGGGGTATATAATAAACTGTCTTTAAATCAACCTTTTTTTTCACCAAATTAGCTCTCAACATTTTTTTTTTTTAATGTGTGGTACCATTAGCCAATGATCATTTGGAGATCATGGGGTGCGGTCTGGTGTGACGTACGCTTTAGAAAAACATTTTCTTTAACATGCCAACGTTTCAATCTTTATTGAGATCATCTCTTGGCCCTCGCAACACGAAAGACAAGAATGATATGGAAAACAAACACTTTTAGCCCTGAAGATGTCTCAATAAAGATTGAAACTTTTAAACTTCAAATTAGCCATTTTGTTAACTTCAAATTAACCTGTTTTTATTTCAAACTAATTTTTCTTTAATTTCAAATCAACCCTTATTTATTTCAAATTAATCCCTTCTTGAAAGGAATTTTAAAAAATTAGGAGAGAGTATGAAATATAAGCATGGACACAGATATTCGCTGCCAATCTCAAGTACAATTCTCATATCGGATGGCATTCTTATACGCTATCTATAAGAAGCCCAGAAATAACACCGTTCAATTAACACATTTGTATAACACACACTCCCTACAACCAAAGCAGGGCGGCTGTAACGAACACATTAAGTGGGACACATCAAGCAACTTTCTCTACATACAGACACATATGTGGGCCCAAGAATAAGTGTCCATGTATCAACCTCACATTGCTTATGCTAATTAGGTGAGGATGACTCTTCTCCTGAATCGTTTTGAGTATGTTGTTATTTGTCTACATACTTCTACTCTTAACTAAAGTAGGATTTTTTTACCACAGGGAGCTTACGCTTTCCAGGCACTTTTCAAATAGGAGGAAATAAAGATAACAAAGCGTTAAATAGAACTTCAGCAAACATCACACACCTTACTAAAAAGAAAGGTCTCCCTATAGATGCGTTTAAATGGGATGCATTAAACATCCCGTTTAGAGATCAAACTATAGACGTGTTTGTGACAGATTTGGTAAGACTTTATATAAAATAATCACGATTAATATTATAGTTAAAATTAATTTTCGCCTTTTGGAAAAAGAAGCGGCCAGAAGAAAGACAATTTTGCTCTCTATGAAAATCTGCTCAAAAAATTGGCCAGGGTTGTCAAAATGGGTACGGGCGCAGGGCTTCACTTCTCACTTACAACAGGAAGGCTCTCACACAGGTTTTGAATGCAAATACAATTATATAATTTACCAAACTTATCATTTAAACCTGCGGAAGCGGACTAGGATGTTCAGTGTCAACCATGGTGGTCTTAATTTGTCAGTTTTCTTGCTTACAAGAGCATTAGAGGCTGATGAATAATTTATATATATTATCCTTAGGATTATGCATTATTTAATTGTTTTAAATATTTTATTTATTTAGTTGTTTTTTTACAATGAGTGATGGTGTTTAATTAATTTATTTTGTGTCTTAAAAGTAAGCACTTTTATTTTAATTATTTAAATAATGTAAAGAGACATTTGTAATAAACCTTTGTAAGAAAAATCAATTTAATTTACATTATGAAAGATTTATTTTTCTAAGGGTTTATCAAGAAAAAGAAATTATACCAGTTTGCAACTATTATTAATTATATATCTTCATTGATTTGTTGAAAAAAATTATTAATCAGTAGCACATCAATTTTAAGCAATCAATAGAAGCAAGCATCAATTTGCAGCAATTAGTAGGTTTGATAATCGCCAACAGAAAATGAGTTGAATTTATTTTTTAAGCCTTCTGAAGATTTTGCAGTTTTTCTAAAAGGAAAATTTTCAGACCTTTGACATTTAAAATGGCGTAACATGTAGATGGTAAACAATGGGGTATGGCAATAAAGCATGATAACAGAAAGAAGAAACTGATTGGCTAGGCTTAGGATAGGACACACAATATTGATGCATAATTGCCCTTCCGGCTAGAGAACTTCCCCGAGAATTCACAACTTGCGGTAAAACAATAATCATCAAGCATATTCTGACATCATGTAGTAACTACGAAGACCTTAGTGTCAAATATAGGCTTGCAAATAGTGTGACCCAAATTTTTAAAGATTCCCCATCTAACAACAGAAAGCTGTTTGGAGTTTCTTACTGAAACTGGATTGATAAATAAAGAGTAGGATAGTGAGATTGCTTGAAGTTCAGAGGGGTGATGGCGGCTCCTGTCTGGCTTTCTAGGCATTGCCTTTCTTAACTCATCCCATTCTCTCATTATTTCATATCGAATCAAGGAAGTTTTAGACAAATCTTGGTGCCTCAAAAAAATATTTTAAAATTGAAATCATTACAAACATGTGTTTACCTTTTATTAACTATCAAACAACCATATTAATCATGTGGTTACAGGAAGCTGGTATAGCTTGAAATGTGTACACATGTAGCGATTCAGTTTGTAGAGTACATTTATTGTGTTGTGCACATTGGCGGTTGAGCAAGTGTGTCTTTGTTCTTCAGCAGTGGATGAAAAAACAGATCGAAACATCAATTTTAGCATATTGGTAAATGATTCTTTTTGTTTCTAACAAAATATCCTCCTTTTTTTAAATGGATACAGCATCCTTAATGGTTGAACCTTGTTATCAATAACATATTTTCTGCATTTTCTAAACCTTAAATTTTTACCAGCATCTTTAATTGCTTTAATTGTTTATATATGTTGTTAATCTTGAATTGTCTCAAGGCCAATAACAAGAGAATTTTTCACAATTTCATTCACTGAATTGATATATTGCATTTTATGGAAAGAATCATCTTGACCACCAGGTGATGAAGATTTCAATTGTTGATCTTGATGTATGAATTCATGATCAGAACTAGATATTCTGTGCCATGCAAACAAAATTTCTATTGAACTAGGATTAAAGAGATTTTGTCTTCTTCAGTTTTAAAGTTTAGAGTCGATGTTTCAGTGTCACTATCCATAACAATATTCAGTGTAAAACTCTTCCGAGTAAGTTTCAGCATCACCACTCAAAATATTTCTAAATTAATCCTCACTTATGAAGTCTTTGACGGTGTATGCTAGAATACTTATTTTCAATGTTTCAATAAACAATCAATAATTACGGTTGAAAAGAGAACACAATAAAATGAAAGCCAACTTTAAACTTCTTCTCCTGGAGAGTCTTTACTTCCTATTTGAGTTGGCAAAGGACAAATTTTGTTTATTAGTCTCTTGATGACTCCATTTCAGGATTTTAGGATAACCACCCTAATTAACCCAGCAGCTTCTGGATGCATCTCACAGATTCTTGGTAATGGCTATTTCAGTGGAGGGTCCTTTCTCCTTTAGATAACTATTCATGAATTCTTTTCCAAAATGATTGAAATATTTGGTGCATTGTACATCATCATGTGGGAGTGTTGATTGTTTAGCTTCCTCAAGAAGCTTCATCTAATTAATTGCAAGCTTCATCAAGAAGTTGCCAGGAGTGAGAGGTGCACGGTCATTGGGACTAGGACTAAATGCAAGGATAGGTCGGGAGTATAAGACTGATTCTATTAATATAAGAAATAGTGAACATTTTGTCTCCCACAACTCTTCTAAATGAAATTCATAAGATTTTACCACTGCTTCCCACAAACCATCAAATTCTGGTGCTTGAAGAGGTACGAATTTCCAGATAATATTTTCACTGGCTAAATAGCTAGCTACATGTGGGTCTTGTTGGAATGATTCAACTCACGAGCAGCTCCAATGAAATTTGTTCCATTTTCTGACAATTTGAACTTTCTGCACAAAAAACCTGTTCAAAGCAGCTAGGAAACATTTTGTTGTTAGATCACTAATGAGCTACAATAGCAGATAAAGATAGGTACATAAGCCTTTTAGAGTTTTGCATTCCTAACGGTACTGGATTTAAATGTAAATGGGCCGCACAAAACCACTCTTGTATTCAGGAAAGGTCGAGCAACCTTCAGGAGTTAAATTGCCCATTTTTTGATGGAAAACTTTAGGTTTGGCCTTGAAATAAGTGGTACATGCATTGCAGGTTCTTCTTACAAGACCTCTTCCTCTCAATGGCCAAAATCTTAGTCAAAAGGGAGCCAAGTGTAATTGAGGTCCTGCATGAACATTGGAAATATGCTCTCTTGCAATTAATAGTTACTTGATGGCCTTTAAGTAGTATGATAGGATGCCTCTCATTATAGATATTAGCCTTATAAATTTGTCCACCTACCCTGATGATGTTATCCTTAGCCAGAAAGGGGCTCAATTACAGCAGCTTATTCAGAGTGAACATCCCCATGAGAACGAAGATGGGAAATAGCTTTAGCAAAGGCTTCTCTTTGCGCATGTCTGAAGCATACACCTTCAGCTACAGACCATTTATCACCAGATAAAAATTTGCGTACCTTTTGTTTCAAATATAATTTGATAAATTTGTGCATATAAATGATAATTTTAAAGCTCAAATACCTGTTCCAATCAGACAGTTACCAAAACATATTTTTTCAGTTCTTCAGATGTAATGGGTTTTCGTTGCCAGATACATTACACCAAATATAACCAGGTGTGGATATCTTGGATTTCACTGACCCTGTAACATTTAGCTGATTGCATGTAGAATCCGACCACAAGAATTTGAGCTCGAATTTCAACTCTAAAGACATTTTCACCTCCTTCAACAGTTTGCTAGTCTGGGAAGAATGATTTTTTTTAAAAAGAGCTACCCTTGATTTTGTGATGATTTGTTTTATAAATTATCCTGGTACATCTTACACGTATAACAGGTCCATATCTTTCTCTGGTGCAACACAGAAACCATGCATTTAATAAAGAACATCCCAGTTTGTCAAAACTGGTCAATGAATGTCTCTGACTCAAGGTCCTTTCTAAATGAAGCCCATTCCATTAACTGATTTGCAGGGATGTTTCATCCCCTTGTGTCTTTAATGACCAAAGCACTTGCAAAAACATTTTGAATTTTACAAGAACAGGTCCCTTAAATCAAGATCAAAAACCTTAGCCGTATCCAACAGGATGCTATGCTTTGTATGTTTTTTTTTCCTGGAGGAAGAATAATTGAAAATGTAAAAATTCTTGTTCTGGATCCAACCAGATAGATGGCAAGGGTGGTCTTGGTTGAAGACATCCTCTTCATTTGAGATAAATTTAGTTTCTGTTTTTACTGTAAGAATGTTGACTAATAATGCTGTCATTTGTACACCACTTATGTATGGAAAACTGATCACACTCAACTATCTTTATAAACTCTTTCGGAATAAACATGAAATTTTCTAAACCACTTTAAGTAGTCTCAATGAAGAATTTTTGTAGGATTGATTTGATTAGAGGAAATTTTAAACAATCCAGCAGCTTTCTCTTTAGTTTCTTTTAATTTTTGTGGTGGTGTAATTTCATCTTGTAAGGATAAGCCATCTTCTGATTGTGTTGTCAATGGTTTTGCCTTGGTGTGTAGGACTGTTTTTAGAATCAAAGCTTACATTTAGTCCTGGGACACACTTCATGTCTTCATTTAGTAACTGTTTGCTGCTAATTTGTGTTTTGTCATCTGAAAGCTCTTCATTTTTAACAAATGTCTCAAGTCTCGAGTAACGTGGAGGTTGATTTTTGTCATGGGCAGAAATATTTACAACTATTGCTAAAAGTTGAGCATATCATGCCCAGTTCCAGCCAAAGTTCACGACATACATCTAAATTATAAACTTTGTTTAATTCTAAAACTGCTTTCATCAAAAGATCTTTGTGCTTTTTATGCAGTTTGCATTGCCTAAAAGAATTCAGTGATATTTCTATTAATGGTAAAGAGGGTACATAATAAACTGTCTTTAAATCAAACTTTTTTTACACCAAATTAGCTCTTCAAATTTTTTTTTTTTTTTTTAATGTGTGGTGTTTAGTGACCGTTAGCCAATGATCATTTGGAGATCGTGGGGTGCGGTCTGGTGTGACATACGCTTTAGAAAAACATTTTCTTTATCATGCCAATGTTTCAATCTTTATTGAGATCATCTCTTGGCCCTCGCAACACGACACACAGAATGACACATCTATACGGAAAACAAACACTTTCAGCCCTGAAGATGATCTCAGTAAAGATCGAAATGTTGGCATGATAAGGAAAACTTTTTTTAAACTTCAAATTAACCTGTTTTTATTTCAACTAATTTTTCTTTAATTTCAAATAGTTGTTCAAGTCATTGCAGGTACCGGATGTAATTGAGAATTCATTAACTAATGTATAATTTTTTTTCAATGAATTTTTAGTTTTCTCAAAACAGTTAGCAGACACAGCAACAAAGTTGAACAACACTTTACAAGTTTCTTTAAACTTTTAAAATATATAAAAAAATTGAATAAAAGTTGAAATATATAAACTTTTATCGACAAAAGGTAAAAATAATAATAATGATAATAATTCTTAATTGCTGCTCATATTGATGTGATATTGATTTTTAGGACTAACAAAATGCTGGATAGATAGAGACGCCTTTATGGCACATTTGTGCACAGTGCAGGCTTACTCTAAATTTGTGAACTGCAATAAGAAAAAAATCGTAGATTATACCAAGTGAGTTCAGTTTATTTTGCATTATTTTTTCCTTTGGAATATAAAGCATTTCATTTCTTTCATTACAGTTTTACAAATTAAAACAGGTATAACTGTTCATGTGGATCCTTCAGTAACCGACAAGAAGAAGGTGAAATCATCAAGCATAAAAGACCATTAAATAGTAGGCAGATTAACATACACTTACTAAATTTTTGTCATTTGTTGAAATTACTACTAAATTATTTCGTTTTCCCAAATTTAAAAAAAAATAGAACGTTTCTGTCAGTCAATGAAAGATCTAAATTTACCTCATATATGTATAATAAAAGTTCAAGCTTATAGTAAACATTTATTTATTACATAATTATCAAAAATAATCGTTAAAGATTATTCGAGTCGGTTGCAGGTGGCTGGTGTAGCCTTAAATTGAAACACATGTACTGGTTCAGTTTTTGGAGTGAAATTGATTGTGTCATTCCCTTTCGGGGTAGAAATAGTCTGGGTTGGATGTTCTTCAGATGTAGGTGAAAAAACGGATTGAAACATCCAGTTTAACATATCCTTGAATGATCCTATTGTTTCGCTTAGTAAAATGTCCTTTTTTTCATGACCAGTGCTGTCATTGATGGTAGAACCTTTTTTTGAATAATATATTATAATTTCTGCATTTTCTGCACCAATTTTTAGCGGCATCTTTAACTGCTGAATTTTTTTAAGCCCAGTGACTTTCATAATTTCTTTCATTGAATCGTCATGTCCGGGCAATGAAGATTTCAACAGTTGGTGTTGAGGTGTGGATTCACGATCGGGACGAGAGATTCTAGGCTGTGCAAGTGAAATTTTTATTGAACTGGGATCATAAGAGACTGTGTCTTCATTTATTTTAATGTTGAGACTCGCTGTTCTTTCAGTGTCGTTATCCATAACAATATTCCTATCATTGTCACTGCTTGTACTATCGACCTGTGTAAAGTCATCAGCTTCAGACTCTATAGAAACAGATTGTGAATATGGACGGGTATTACATGACAAGGATGATACAGTGCTGTGTGGTGTCTTTTTATTCTCTTGAGGTGATAGTTGTGTGTGTCCAAGGTGCCCTAAAATTTCTGTCCCCAGAGGAAAATCTTGTTCTGATTTTGAGATTCGCAAATTTTCCTCATGATGTTTGCATTGCAGATTCATTTTATTCCAAAATAAAGATGGTTCGCTTTTAGACTTTTGAATTTTCTCAGTTTGTACTCTGTCAACCATATTTTCATGTCTTGTTTTATTCTTCTCTAATAAGTAATTATTTTTTACACTTTTTACAGATGAAGAAGAATGACCATCTTTGGACAAAGAGTTAGGTGTCTCTAAATGAGATGATGTCTTACTCTGTTTTCTTAATGCTTTCTTTCTGTTGCCTGTTGGAGGGCTTCGAGTATAAGATCTTTCATTGGCTGAAATGTTTCGACTGCTGGTACCTGACCATTTCCTTTTTCTTGCAACTCGTCGGGATAGACCAGGCGAACCAGTACCCTGCATTTTGGCCAGCTGTTCTTCCTGAGGTTCAGTCTTCAATTTGTTGTCAATAAAATCACCACCTTGACTAGTTAACGAGAATGGTGATCGTAAAATATTCAGCAAACAGTAGTCGTCAGTCGCTGAAGGTAATGAAATGGGCAATCTACTTGGTTTACTTCCTATTTCAAATATATTGGCTTTATGGCCAAATTCCAAAGCAGACTTAGCTTTCATGCATTCCTCTTTCATTCCGCTCCTTGATATGACAGTTGGAACAGACCTGGATTTAAAACGAAATAATGCTGGAGTCGAAACAGAACCTACAAAAAAAAATATATAAATAAATAAATAATAAACAAACAAAGCATATAATACATATATTAAATAATAATATGGTAGAAAATAATAAAACAATAACACATAGATTTACATAAATAAAGTAACAGGTTTCCTGTTCTAATCAGAAAATAATTTAAATAAAATAAAAATATAATTATTCATCTTACCGAGTTTATCATCTTCTTGGTGGAAATTTGGAAATTCACGAGGCTGGTTGCTTAAGATATCTGTGAGATAGGTATCTCTAGCGGCCGATTTTGAAGGTTGGTATATCCTTATTAGCGATAATTGCTCTTTATTTTCCAAAAACTCTTCCTGGGCTTTTGAAGCTTCTGGATCTCCATTTCGCAACTCTAAAGTCAAAAGACAAAGCTCAGCATTTGCTGTACTCTTCTCTTCATGTATATTAATAATGTCAGAGCCTTTTGTCCTAGTAGGAAAATGTTCAGTCCTTTTTACTTGTGCCATCTTCATTCGACCTTTAATAAAATTCTTTCTACATTTGGCTAGGGGCCGTCCTCTTGTTTTCCCTCCTGTTAAGTCCACAGTCACAAATACGTGGGATGTGAATCTACGAGGTGGCTGTTTTAGCACTGTTTGAGAATTTTGACTTACGAGTGTTACTTCCTCTGTTTGCACAAGTCGGTCACATTTACTAGTCGGCTCAAGGGATACAGTCTGAACTGAAGTGTGGTACAATGTTCCCCATTCTTTGCAATTTGATGCACCTTCATATTGCGTTGCTTTATTTTTGCTGTTGCATAAACTATGATGTTGCACATCTTGATCACTTCTATGTTTCAGACATTTTTGGGTAAGGTTCGATGTGGCAGCAGTTGTCAAGAACGACATTTTCAATAGGTCTAATTCTACATCAGTGGAGGCAATTGTCGGTGAATAATAACCTCGAGTCACTTGACATGAATGTAAATGGTCTAGGTCAATGTGATTTGTGGATTTCCTTTGACAAGACTCATGAGCATCTATATTCATCGTTACTAGTTCCTTCTCACGAGCTGCATATGACAATTCCATAGTTCCTCTTTGATCATTTCTACAGTTTTCTAAAAGTTCCAAGTTTGATACCTGCTGTTTTTCATTAATTTGAAGCCAACTGTCACATTTATCCTGGTCTTTATAATTGCCAATTGTGCTTTTGGTTTTTATACCTCTTGTTTGAGCAGTATTGAATTGGCGCGGTGAGTAAACTGGAACTACAGAAGGAAGTGTCCCATCAGAGTCAAAACTATCTTTTTCACTTGAATCATATCGAGCTGTTCTGTCAATATGATTTACTTGATTAGACACATTTTTGGGTAAAGTCTGGTATTGAGGAATTATTTTCAAATCGGCTTCTCTGATTTCTTTGCTTTCGCAAGCAGTCAAAATGTTGTTATGGCTCTGTTCTGATATATTTTCAAGTGGACTCTCACCAGAATCTGTGCCGAGCTTTGTTAATGCAGATCTATCACATTGCTGATCTTGCTCTACCAAATCTGCCACTATTATTGCTTCTTCCTCCTGTCCAAATGTTCTGAATGTGTTAGAGGGAATTTGAAACAATCCTTGGTGTGTAGGATTGTTTTTAGAATCAAAACTTGCATTTAGTCCTTGGACACACTTTGTGTCTTCATTTAGTAGTAGCCGTTTACTGCTAATTTGTGGTTTGTCATCTGAAAGCTCTTCATTTTTAACAAATGTCTCAATCTCGTGTAACGTGGCGGTTGATGTTTCTGATTGGCACAAGTATTTACCATCATGCTTTACATAGTTCACTTTCTTTGAAGGCTTACTCTCACGGTCAGTTAAAAACAAATTTGTCCTTACTTGCTGGTATCTCTTTTCGACTGATGTTTCGGTCATATTCAATTTTTCTGTATCACACAACTGTTCAGAGCTACTATCATAATTTGCATTTTTTACATGGTTTTCTGGACAAGATGTGTCTTTCCTACGAATCGGTGGTAGGTACTTTCTATTCGATTGTATGAAATTTGACTGAACTGCATTTATGATAGCAATAGTCTCTGTTAGCTTATCCCGAACTTGCGATAAACCATCGTGTTCTTTTACCGGATTCATTAATTTGTGCGTCTGAACTGTCTTGTTGATGGCTTGTGCTTCACGAGATTGGTTTTGTTGTCGAGTTTGATGATTTGAATTTCGTCCAGTTGGAATTCTTTTCCTTTTCTTGTCTAGCAGTTTATTCTGTGACAATTTTGTTGAGTCAGGACATGTCTTTTCAGTTGCTTCAGTATGTCCCATCTTCTGTGTTGTACTATTACTTTGATGTTCTGATCTGGGAACATTTGTACTCTTTTGACAAGAATTATTTGATGTTCTGTTTTTTGAGTATCGTCCACTATCAATTTTTTGACTTGGGATCTGTTCTTTTCTCATTATATCCGTAGCTGTGTGAGCGTTTCCATTTTTATCCTTTTTGTTTGCCATCTTTTTTCTTTGTTCCTTCTTCTCTCGTTTGTACTCTAACCAAAGTGAATTTATCCCCTGTAGAAATGATCGCAAAACATCTAAATTTTGATCCTTGTCTTTGTTCAATTGTTTCAGCAAGTCATTTAATCGTTCGACACTGGAGGTCATACCAAAATTACCACTTTCTTTTGATATTGTTAAATTTTGAACACGGGTGACTAAACGAGAATAAACATTTTTTAACTTCTCAATACCTGCATCTGTTTCTTCGAGTATCGATGCTGAGCAATGCCGGTCACACATTGCCATCACGCCCTTAGGATGAGTGCAAGCCTTACCAGAAAGGTCATTCAAGTTTGGGGTTTTTGCCTCAATACATCCAGAATCATCCATTTTTCTCTTCGTGTAATTGTTCAGGTTAGATGACATTTTGTTCACTGTATTTTTAACACTCCTATCTTTTTGCTTATTTAAATAATGCTGATTATTGCCGGTCAATACTGGTGGATAGCTGTTGTTTAAATTACTCATTTCATGTAATTCACACTTACCATTGTTGTGTTTCCTCGCCATTGGTAATCAAATTACAAATGATAGAAATAGTAACAAGTTGAAAATCACACTCTTTAATAACTAGTGGTTTTTCTTTTTTTATATAATAAATGCTGTCATGGAAACTGCAATGTATAATTAAAAAAACAAAAGAAAAAGAAAAAAAACATGTTTTTGTATAGTACAAGTATTAGAAAATGGTGGATTTTTTAGATATTTCATTTAGGTAGTTACGAAAGTGTAATAATAATGATAAAGAATTAATGAAAATTTGATACAAATAATAACACATATACATCTTTGTTTTTAGATTTACAAAAACATATGATTTTGAAATTAGAATATTCATCTTATTCATTGCAGTTTCCATGACAGCATTTATTATATAAAAAAAGAAAAACCACTAGTTATTAACGAGTGTAATTTTCAACTTGTTACTATTTCTTTCATTTGTAATTTTATTACCAATGGCGAGGAAACACAACAATGGTAAGTGTGAATTACATGAAATGAGTAATTTAACCAACAGCTATCCGTCGGTATTGACCGGCAATAATCAGCATTATTTACATAAGCAAAAAGATAGAAGTGTTAAAAATACAGTGAACAAAATGTCATCTAACCTGAACAATTACATGAAGAGAAAAATGGACGATTCTGGATGTATTGAGGCAAAAAACCCAAACTTGAATGACCTTTCTGGTAAGGCTTGCACTCATCCTAAGGGCGTGATGGCAATGTGTGACCGGCATTGCTCAGCATCGATACTCGAAGAAACAGATGCAGATATTGAGAAGTTAAAAAATGTTTATTCTCGTTTAGTCACCCGTGTTCAAAATTTAACAATATCAAAAGAAAGTGGTAATTTTGGTATGACCTCCAGTGTCGAACGATTAAATGACTTGCTGAAACAATTGAACAAAGACAAGGATCAAAATTTAGATGTTTTGCGATCATTTCTACAGGGGATAAATTCACTTTGGTTAGAGTACAAACGAGAGAAGAAGGAACAAAGAAAAAAGATGGCAAACAAAAAGGGTAAAAATGGAAACGCTCACACAGCTACAGATATAATGAGAAAAGAACAGATCCCAAGTCAAAAAATTGATAGTGGACGATACTCAAAAGACAGAACAACAAATAATTCTTGTCAACAGAGTACAAATGTTCCCAGATCAGAACATCAAAATAATAGTACAACACAGAAGACGGGACATATTGAAGCAACTGAAAAGACATGTCCTGACACAACGAAAATGTCGCAGAATAAACTGCTAGACAAGAAAAGGAAAAGAATTCCAACTGGACAAAATTCAAATCATCAAACTCGACAACAAAACCAATCTCGTGAAGCACAAGCCATCAACAAGACAGTTCAGACGCACAAATTAATAAATCCGGTAAAAAAACACGATGGTTTATCGCAAGTTCGGGATAAGCTAACAGAGACTATTGCTATCATAAATGCAGTTCAGTCAAATTTCATACAATCGAATAGAAAGTACCTACCACCGATTCGTAGGAAAGACACATCTTGTCCAGAAAACCATGTAAAAAATGCAAATTATGATAGTAGCTCTGAACAGTTGTGTGATACAGAAAAATTGAATATGACCGAAACATCAGTCGAAAAGAGATATCAGCAAGTAAGGACAAATTTGTTTTTAACTGACTGTGAGCGTAAGCCTTCAAAGAAAGTGAACTATGTAAAACATGATGGTAAATACTTGTGCCAATCAGAAACATCAACCGCCACATTACACGAGAATGAGACTTTTGCTAAAAATGAAGAGCTTTCAGATGACAAACCACAAATTAGCAATAAACGGCTACTACTAAATGAAGACACCAAGTGTGTCCAAGGACTAAATGCAAGTTTTGATTCTAAAAACAATCCTACACACCAAGGATTGTTTCAAATTCCCTCTAACACATTCAGAACATTTGGACAGGAGGAAGAAGCAATAATAGTGGCAGATATGGTAGAGCAAGATCAGCAATGCAAAACTTTGTGTAATGAAGTAAATCATATTGACAGAACAGTTCAATATGATTCGAGTGAAAAAGCTAGTTTTGACTCTGACGGGACACTTCCTCCTGTAGTTCCAGTACACCTGCCAAGCCAATTCAATACTGTTCAAACAATAAGTGCAAACACTAAAACCTCAATTGGTAATTATGAAGACCAGGGTAAATGTGACAGTTGGCTTCAAATTAATGAAAAACAGCAGGTATCAAACTTGGAACTTTTAGAAAACTGTAGAAATGATAAAAGAGGAACTATGGAATTGTCATATGCAGCTTGCGAGAAGGAACTAGTAACGATGAATATAGATGCTCATGAGTCTTGTCAAAGGAAATCCACAAATCACATTGACCTAGACCATTTACATCCATGTCAAGTGACTCGAGGTTATTATTCACCGACAATTGCCTCCACTGATGTAGAATTAGACCTATTGAAAATGTCGTTCTTGACAACTGCTGCCACATCGAACCTTACCCAAAAATGTCTGAAACATAGAAGTGATCAAGATGTGCAACATCATAGTTTATGCAACAGCAAAAATAAAGCAACGCAATATGAAGGTGCATCAAATTGCAAAGAATGGGGAACATTGTACCACACTTCAGTTCAGACTGTATCCCTTCAGCCGACTAGTAAATGTGACCGACTTGTGCAAACTGAGGAAGTAACACTCGTAAGTCAAAATTCTCAAACGGTGCTAAAACAACCACCTCGTAGATTCACATCCCACATATTTGTGACTGTGGACTTAACAGGAGGAAAAACAAGAGGACGGCCCCTAGCCAAATGTAGAAAGAATTTTATTAAAGGTCGAATGAAGATGGCACAAGTAAAAAGGACTGAACATTTCCCTACTAGGACAAAAGGCTCTGACATTATTAATATACATGAAGAGAAGAGTACAGCAAATGCTGAACTTTGTCTTTTGACTTTAGAGTTGCGAAATGGAGATCCAGAAGTTTCAAAAGCTGAAGAGTTTTTGGACAATAAAGAGCAATTATCGCCAATAAGGATATACCAACCATCAAAATCGGCCGCTAGAGATACCTATCTCACAGATATCTTAAGCAACCAGCCTCTTGAATTTCCAAATTTCAACCAAAAAGATGATAAACTTGGTAAGATGAATAATTATATTTTTATTTTATTTAAATTATTTTCTGATTAGAACAGGAAACCTGTTACTTTATTTATGTAAATCTATGTGTTATTGTTTTATTATTTTCTACCATATTATTATTTAATATATGTATTATATGCTTTGTTTGTTTATTATTTATTTATTTATATATTTTTTTTTGTAGGTTCTGTTTCGACTCCAGCATTATTTCGTTTTAAATCCAGGTCTGTTCCAACTGTCATATCAAGGAGCGGAATGAAAGAGGAATGCATGAAAGCTAAGTCTGCTTTGGAATTTGGCCATAAAGCCAATATATTTGAAATAGGAAGTAAACCAAGTAGATTGCCCATTTCATTACCTTCAGCGACTGACGACTGCTGTTTGCTGAATATTTTACGATCACCATTCACTTTAACTGATCAAGGTGGTGATTTTGTTGACAACGAATTGAACACTGCACCTCAGGAAGAACAGCTGGCCAAAATGCAGGGTACTGGTTCGCCTGGTCTATCCCAACGAGTTGCAAGAAAAAGGAAATGGTTAGGTGCCAGCAGTCGAAACATTTCAGCCAATGAACGATCTTGTACTCGAAGCCCTCCAACAGGCAACAGAAAGAAAGCATTAAGAAAACAGAGTAAGACATCATCTCATTTAGAGACAACTAACTCTTTGTCCAAAGATAGTCATTCTTCTTCATCTTTAAACGACAGTATAAAAAATAATTACCTTTTGGAGAAGAACAGAACAAGACAACATGAAAATATGCTAGTAAGAGGACAAACTGACAAAATTCAAAAGTATAAAAGCGAACTATCTTTATTTTGGAATAAAATGAATCCGCAATGCAAACATCATGAGGAAAATTTAAGAATCTCAAAATCAGAACAACGTTTTCCTCTGGGGACAGAAATTTTAGGGCAACTTGGACATACACAACTATCACCTCAAGAGAATAAAAAGACACCACACAGCACTGTATCATCCTCGTCATGTAATACCCGTCCATATTCACATTCTGTTTCTATAGAGTCTGAAGCTGAAACATACCCAGATGACTTTACACAGGTCGATAGTACTAGCAGTGACAATGATAGGAATATTGTTATGGATAAGGACACTGAAAGAACAGCGAGTCTCAACATTAAAATAAATGAAGACACAGTCTCTTATGATCCCAGTTCAATAAAAATTTCAGTTGCACTGCACAGAATCTCTAGTCCCGATCGTGAATCCACACCTCAACACCAACTGTTGAAATCTTCATTGCCCGGACAAGACGATTCAATGAAAGAAATTACGAAAGTCACTGGGCTTAAAAAAATTCAGCAGTTAAAGATGCCGCTAAAAATTGGTGCAGAAAATGCAGAAATTATAATATATTATTCAAAAAAAGGTTCTACCATCGATGACAGCACTGGTCATGAAAAAAAGGACATTTTACTAAGCGAAACAATAGGATCATTCAAGGATATGCTAAATTGGATGTTTCAATCCGTTTTTTCACCTACATCTGAAGAACATCCAACCCAGACTATTTCTACCCCTAAAGTGTACGACACAATCAATTTCTCCCCAAAAACTGAACCGGTCCATGTGTTTCGATTTAAGGCTACACCAGCCACCTGCAACTGACGTGAAAAATCTTTAACGATTATTTCTGATAATAAATAAATGTTTACTATAAGCTTGAACTTTTATTATACATATATGAGGTAAATTTAGATCTTTCATTGACTGACAGAAACGTTCTATTTTTTTTAAATTTGGGAAAATGAAATAATTTAGTAGTAATTTCAATAAATGACAAAAATTTAGTAAGTGTATGTTAATCTGCCTACTATTTAATGTTGTTTTATGCTTGATGATTTCACCTCCTTCCTATTGGTTACTGAAGGATCCATATAAACAGTTATACCTGTTTTAATTTGTAAAACTGTGATGAAAAAATAAAATGCCCAGT